TTGTTATTTATAAATTATAAATAAATACTAATTTTTTGTTCTCATTAAATAATATTATATATTTAAATTTTATATTAAAAATTTATAAATATATTATATATAGATATTTTACAATATATTATGTAGACTGTAAATAATAAAGTAATACGAAAAATATACATATATTTATAAATAAATTCAGAAATATAAAAAAATTTTTTAGATTTTTTTAATTCTAAGTTAATTTTAATTCTGAATTATTTAAATATATAAACAATATAATAAACTAATACAAATATATTATACAAATAAATTAATGCAATAAATCAATCTCAATAGAAAAAAAAAATTATAAAATATTTAAAGAATAAAAGAGATGTAAGCATGTACACATACACACATGCACATATATAATCATTATGCAGTAGACAGATGTCAAAAGTGCAATAGAAATTTTGGATATTTGTGGCGCAATTTCCAGAAAAACGAAGAACTAACCTGCAAAACTACTTCTACGTCATAACTGTTGCCTTTAGACTTTTGAGAACCTTGAAATCGCGAACCGTTGTAAAGCAAAGATTTTGTGACACCCGGCTGCTTTGAGTTTGCGGGCGGTGGTGGTACTACGTCAACTTTCACCGGCATTCTCGGCTCAAGTGAACGCTCTTAAAATTTGCCCTCCTTGGGCGACAATTCCTTCATTACAAAATTCTCGCAATGACTGCCGGTAATTTTCAGGACGTAGATGTATTTATATAAAGCCTCGAACCCAGACACGCTCGCGGTCGTAATTTTTACACGAAGATTGAATTCGATGTGTCTTAAAAAAATCTTATTTTTTCATACAAATATGCATTTATTATTATTTTTAGTAAACACTGAAGATAATCTTCTGCTACTGAAACAAAAAACTATATTTTCACTTGTTTTATTAACTTACGCAAATCATGTCCTACAAAATTTTAGTTCTATTTTGCCGGATGTATAGGTACTTATTACTTACTAACAATTTAAATATTAAATTTCTTTTAGTCTCTCAAATTATATACTTATATTATTAGTTTTATTAATATTGTCCTGTCATATCTTATAAAAGATATATAATAGGAATTTTATTTAAAAAAAATAACAAAAATATTATTTATATTAATTTTTTTTGTAAATAATGATTTTAATTTGCTTTCCCGCTATAAAATACCAATCTTAATAATATCATGTATTAAATTGCACCAAAATATATTAATAAATAAAATATAATATTCGAATTTTGTTTAATAAAACATTATAATATGATTTTTATTTTTACAAACTTACAATTAAAACATTGATTTGATTCTATCAAAGAAACCTATGAACTGAAAGTGCTTAAGTTTCAAAGCAAACATGGAGGATTTCAGTGATACGAATTCACACGAGATGACAGAAAATCACATTCAAAAACGGTGTAACAACCAGTGGGTTCGATTAAATGTTGGTGGTACATATTTTTTGACAGCAAAAACTACTTTAGCTAGAGATCCCAATTCATTTCTTTACCGATTATGTCAAGAAGATTCTGAGCTTATCTCTGACAGGGTTAGTTGATGTTTTTAAATAACCGCGAATTTTAAAATATCACTAAATTATTAAATATTAAATATTTTCATCTATACATATATTATTTATAATTTTTATATAATTAATAAGAATAATTTTATATTTAAATCAATTTAGATATTATATATATTATTATTTTTC